TTCTCCAGTTTTAAGCTGATTGTTGGAGATCAAGGCATCTGAGACAAAACACCTGATTAAAATCCTCAAGAAGACTATTGGTTGATTCTTTACATCATTTATAATAAGAATATTTCATTGATGGAACTTTCACCTTTGAGGTAATAGGAATAGCTCAAATTTAGTGATAAGAAAGTTGCAGTCAGGATTAGTAAACTGGTTAAAAAATTGAGGCAAAAAAAAAAACAACAACCAGAAACTGATTTATATCAACAATTATGTAGAAAATCAATTCAATAATCTGAGAAGCAGCTTCAACCTGAGGAATTAAAATCTCAATTAGATAACTTCTTTCTAGACAAAGTTCAGGGGACCTTCATTTGCTACAGGGCTTGTTGGATCCAGGAGGCTGAGAACTCTTCAGATTGCTTTCATATTGAAAAACAGCAGAAAGAAAAACTGAGGCTTAATGGTGAGGTTTCTTTAGACTTGCATTTTAGTTGTACCTCTGTTGTGATTTTATGTTCTTTTCAATTTCCAGCCAGCTGGGAATTTATATTTCTGATACTTTAAGATGTTTATTGCCCTCCCAGGTAGGGGTGGCAAAATATCTTATTTAATCAGATATTATTTCAGCTGTGTTAGAACAATAAATGAAAAAGTTATTCAAGCTCTAATCCTGGTCAAACAGTACATTCAGCGCATACATGGAATAAATACACCACAATTTCTGTATATAGGAGTTTATTAACAAAAATAATTCAGCTCCAAATCAAACATTTCAGTTTAACATTCTAAACTAAAACTAGTGAAACTCAACTAAACTAAACTAACTACTATGTACAGAGAGGAAGGGGAAACATGGCTGAATATCATATTACAGTTTAAGATGGATCTTGGGTTTGAAACCAAAGTTTATCTGGAAGAATTTGGGATATGATCAAATTTGCTTTCAGTAATTTAAAGAAATTGGAATGTTTTCAGACCAATTCACAATGCAAATCCATGAGGTGAATAAAATATTATTTGGCCAAATAATGTTTTATTAAATGATACTCTTAATCGAGAACCAATAACCTTTAGTTAAATGATTCTTTACCCTCTTTGAAATAGCTAGCAGCGAATAGCATCAGGATTCCACTAAATGAGTCTTGGTCATACTTGGTAATGGAAATGTAATGAGCATCTGAGGAACACATGAACACTAATGTTATATCAGTGTTTAAATTCTTAGTGAAATCAAGCTGGGGTTCAAGAGATTCCACGGTTCCCAACGTCCAAACAGTATGATCATGGCATATGGCGCAACACCTCCACATGTGATTGGTAATAATTACGGCGCTGTATGCAGACAGATATTAACCTGCTCAGGCTGTCAGGAAAAAGCTGCAGCAGGTTTTTCATTTTTGTGTACAACTACACAAATTGTGTTGTACAAGTTGTTCATCAAAAACCTCTAATATTCTCACTTTTTCTATAAATGGTCCAGAACTATTGTTGTAAAATCAGATTTTTATTGTTCAGACTTTCATGAAAAGATCAGGTACAGATTACATATTGTCAAAAAAATAAATCAGATTAGGGTCCCTTCAGGCTGCATTGTGAACATAGCCATAGTTAGATCCTTCATTCCTCTAGTTGCTTGGTTGTAGCGGCTCTGGACACACACAGTTATAGCAACTGAAACACTTGTTTTATCAGGTGCCAAACCAACTGGGCCAGAATACGTACCAACATTATTTCCTAATCTAAGTTCTCCAACAAGCAAAGGAAGATTTATCCAATGGCCAGATTTGAACACACTCAGGCTCTAAATAGCAAAAAAGATTAATGCTGACGGAGGAGCAACAGGAAAGACTGGAGAAGACAGAAGGTGAATTCCATTAAACTATTTATTTTACAGCTTTAGTTTGGCTGAAAATATCAGAGAAAACATGGGAAAATATTGCAATTTATTTTAAACCATATAAAAAAAAAACAAATTTTTACAATCCATGAGGTTTTTATTGCTGCTCGTTCATCAATTTAGAAGTGATTACAATAATTAAAAACATCCACAGCAGAATATAATCCATAAAATCAGTTGTATAAAATAGGCAATAGTTACTTTCAATCATAGCAGGTAAATAGAACATCTACAGAATCAAGAACAAAACTATTAGAATTAATTCAAAGGAAAATTATACTTTCAAAAAATCTTTAAAAAGCAGAAACTCTACACTTCTAGAATAGAGTGAGATTTCTTTAATACATTATTAAGACAAAGGCTTTTTACCAAGTTAAAGCAGGTTCAAACTGATCAGTAAAAATAACAGCAACATCATCAATCCTGTTTATCTTTTTAAACAAACATGTTTCATCATTTTAGGACTTCAATTTACCTGAACTACAGACTCCAGCCTCTAAACTGAGTTCTTTGATGTCCCGTAGTTTAACCCCATAATCCCAGCACCCCCTTTCAAGGTGGGTGGAGCTACTTTGCAACATTAATTAGCTTGTAGCTGACTAACTCTGAGACTGACACACACTTATATATGTCCCAAATCTTCATCCGAGACTCCTCTATAGATGATCTACTTCATTCTAATATCTATTGACCATAGCTCTAACACTGCGCCAAAAACAGTTGGAGTTTTGGTGGGCCTGGTTTCAACAACACACGTAGCAGGGCTGATTGATGCAGTGCTAATGAAAGCCAACAAGACACTGAATTAGCTAAACTCTGATCATTTGTAGCTGACCTCTTAGAAAATCCTCCAAAAACATCAGCAATACTGAGCAAAGCACATTAAATCTGTCCTAGCTTTGCTTTTATTTTCATCTGAATAAAAGTCTGTTTCTGGAATATATCCAGCCGATAGCTTATCATTCAACTAAAACTTTCTTAGAGTAAAAAATAAAACTGGAGATTTTTTTTCTTAATAAGGCCCCGTCCACAGGAAGCCGAACCCTGGCCTAAACGCACAAATTTTTCACCAAACCAGCCTCTCATCCACACGAAGCCGGCGTTTCGGGGGTCTGTAAACGATCTTTTTTTTATTCAGCCTTCAGAGTGGGAAGATTTTGAAACGCCGTTTTCGCGTTTCCATCTTTAAGCTCTACCCGCATTTTTTTTTTTTTTTACACGCATGCGTCATAGCGTCGCCTCTAAACACGCATGCGCAACACAGTATCACAACAACAATGGCGCCGTACTGTGTTGAATGGTTGCTGCTAATGCTACTCACCCTGCTGTCGGGCTTACAACAGAATCTTCTTCTTCTGGAATATCTCCAGGAAGAACAGAGCAATATCGACGACATAGTTCAGCACCTGAATTTGACTTAACCACGAAAATGGACCCGCAGGGCAACCATGTATACATATTAGTGCGCATGCCCAACATTTCGTCGCACTGACTCCCATCATGATGAAGTGCTTTGAAAGGCTGGTAAAGGAACACATCGTCTCCAGTCTCCCCCCAACACTCGACCCGTTCCAGTTTGCCTACCGGCGAAACCGCTCCACTGAGGACGCCATCTCCTCCGCTCTTCACCTGAGCCTGGCCCACCTGGAGGAGAAGAACACCCACGTGCGGATGCTGTTCCTGGACTTCAGTTCAGCGTTTAACACCATCATCCCACAGCACCTGGTGGAAAAGCTGGAACATCTGGGCTTCAACACACCCCTTCGAAACTGGCTGCTGGACTTCCTCACCAACAGACCTCAGTCGGTCCGGGTCGGTCAGAACACCTCTGACGTCATCACCCTCAGCACGGGCTCCCCTCAGGGCTGCGTCCTGAGCCCCCTGCTGTTCACCCTGATGACATATGACTGCGTCCCCAGGTTCACCACCAATCACATCGTGAAGTTTGCGGACGACACCACGGTGGTGGGCCTCTTCAGGGACGACAACGACCGGGACTACAGAGAGGAGGTGGAGCAGCTGGTGGGCTGGTGCAGTGAAAACAGTCTGATCCTGAACGTGGAGAAGACGAAGGAGATCATCGTCGACTTCAGGAAAAACCGCCCCCACCATGCTCCACTGCTCATCAACAGCTCAGCTGTGGAGGTGGTCAGCAGCACAAAGTTCCTGGGGGTGCACATCACGGACAACCTCACCTGGACTGTAAACACTTCATCTCTAGTGAAGAGGGCACAGAAGCGCTTGTACTTTCTGCGGAGGATGAGGAGAGCCCGCCTGCCCCCGCCCATCCTCACAACCTTCTACAGAAGCACCATAGAGAGCATTCTGACCAGCTGTCTCTCTCTGTGGTGTGGAGGCTGCAGAGCCTCTGACTGGAAGAATGTGAGGAGGGTGGTGAGGACAGCAGAAGGAATCATTGGGGCTCTTCTTCCCTCCATTAAGGACATTTCATCACAGCGCTGTGTGTCCCGAGCCCGTAATATCATCAAAGACCCCTCACACCCCCACCATGGACTGTTCTCCCTGCTGCCCTCTGGAAAGAGGTTCCGCAGCATCCGCTGCAGATCCACCAGGTTGTGCAACAGCTTCTTCCCCACTGCCATCAGACTGTTGAACCTTTGATCCACAAACCGAACTCTGCACCTATTGCACATTATCGGGCATCAAATGCTGCTGAACTTTTAACTTTTAGCCCTTTAATTGTTCATCTCATTCTATTTTCAATAACGCATTTTTTGCACAAATGCCTATTTGCACTGAACCACTGCAACTTGCACACTGTCTCTTATCCTCTGCACTGTTCACACTTTGACCACTGCTGCACTTTTTGTATTTTTCTATAACTTGTGCCATTTGAAATATCAATGCAACGTTCATAAGCTGTATGTAACGCAATTTCGTTCTGTATGCACCCTGTGCATACAAAATGACAAATAAAGAAGTCTAAGTCTAAGTCTTATTTTTGCTTTGGCACCGCTGCGCCACTTACAGGCCTTACATACATTTTGCAGCGTTTTCATGCATTCGTGTGGACGATCACATTTATTTTACGTCTCCGTCTTTACGACAACCGTTCTGGAAAATATCAGCGTTTCGTGTTCGTGTGGACGGGGCCTAAATTCATTCAGAAAAAGATGTGAAACACCATACCAAAGTTGCACAGTATGGGTCTGCCTTGATTTTTTTTTTCTATTTAAACATATCAATTGCTTAGATAAATGAGTACCAGATTACTATATAACAGCTTATCTGTTCTGGTTTCTATGTATACACAGTTGTTAATTAATGGCTTTCTCAAAACTGGCCTAAAAAAAGGTCATTAACCCGTGAGTTTCTTATGTAATGAGGTGAAAGAGTTTCTAGATGGACATTTTATCACCAGTCAAACATGGTAAACACCTCTACTGTTCATTCCTGTGGCATCTAACTGCTGTGACTTATTCAAAAGGCTTCTCATGAGTATGAATTCTCAAGTGTGTAACAAGATGAGATTTGTTAGTGAAAGTTTTTCCACAGGAGGGACATTCAAAAGGCTTCTCACTTGTGTGAATTCTCATGTGAGAAGTCAAATGAATCTTTTGAGTAAATTTATTGTTACAAATGGGACAGGAAAAAGGCTTCTCACCACTGTGAATTCTGATGTGTATATCAAGATGAGATTTGTTAGTGAAACTTTTTCCACAGGACGGACATTCAAAAGGCTTCTTAACTGTGTGAATTCTCATGTGAGTAGTCAAATTACTCTTTTGAGTAAATTTTTTGCTACAAATGGTACAGGAAAAAGGCTTCTCACCTGTGTGAATTCTCATGTGAGAAGTCAAATTACTCTTTTGAGTAAATTTATTGTTACAAATGGTACAGGAAAAAGGCTTCTCACCACTGTGAATTCTGATGTGTTTATCAAAATCAGATTTGTTAGCAAAGCTTTTTCCACAGGACGGACATTCAAAAGGCTTCACACCTGTATGAATTCTGATGTGTGTATTAAGATAAGATTTGTTAGTGAAAGTTTTTCCACAGGACGGACATTCAAAAGGCTTCTCACCTGTGTGAATTCTCATGTGAGTAGTCAAATTACTCTTTTGAGTAAATTTATTGTTACAAATGGTACAGGAAAAAGGTTTCTCACCACTGTGAATTCTGATGTGTCTATCAAGATGAGATTTTTTAGTGAAGCTTTTTCCACAGGACGGACATTTAAAAGGCTTCACACCAGTGTGAACTTTGATGTGTTTATAAAGATGTGATTTGTCAGAGAAGCTTTTTCCACAGGACCGACATTCAAAAGGCTTCTCACCTGTGTGAATTCTGATGTGTGTATCAAGATTGGATTTGTTAGTGAAAGTTTTTCCACAGGACGGACATTCAAAAGGCTTCTCACCTGTGTGAATTCTGATGTGTGTAACAAGATGAGATTTGTTAGTGAAAGTTTTTCCACAGGATGGACATTCAAAAGGCTTCTCACCTGTGTGAATTCTGATGTGTGTATCAAGATTGGATTTGTTAGTGAAAGTTTTTCCACAGGATGGACATTCAAAAGGCTTCTCACCTGTGTGAATTCTGATGTGTGTATCAAGATTGGATTTGTTAGTGAAAGTTTTTCCACAGGACGGACATTCAAAAGGCTTCTCACCTGTGTGAGTTCTGATGTGTTTATCAAAATAAGATTTGTTAGCAAAGCTTTTTCCACAGGACGGACATTCAAAAGGCTTCTCACCTGTGTGAATTCTCATGTGAGTAGTCAAATAACTCTTTTGAGTAAATTTATTGTTACAAATGGTACAGGAAAAAGGCTTCTCACCACTGTGAATTCTGATGTGTGTAACAAGATGAGATTTGTTAGTGAAACTTTTTCCACAGGACAGACATTCAAAAGGCTTCTCACTTGTGTGAATTCTCATGTGAGTAGTCAAATCACTTTTTCGAGTGAAATTCTTGTTACAAATGGTACAGGAAAAAGGCTTCTCACCTGTGTGAATTATCATATGTCTATCAAGTCTAGATTTCTTTGTGAAAAATTTTCCACAGGACAGACAATAAAACTTCTGACCTGTGTGAGTTCTCATGTGAACCATTAAATGCTTTTTTTTAAGAAAGTTTTCTCCACATGTCAAACATGGGAAAGATTTCTGTCTTGTATCTTTAATCTTCTGCTTAAGAACAAGCTGCTCTTTCTGCTCACTTATGGGGAGCTCCATGGTTTCCTCTTTTGTACAGGGACGTTCTGGCTTTTGATGCTCTTCTTTTATCTGCGGATGTTCCGATTCCTCTTGGTCCAAAATGGATTTCCTCTCCTGTCCACAGAGCTGCTGGTCAGAGAAATCCTCCTCTTTTCCGACATAATCCTGGAGGCGGTCTGGAAAGACAAACATAGCAAAAAGGCGTTCTATTGGTTGTTAAATAAAGGACACCTCACATATAAGCACCAAACTCTCTCCTTGAGGTTGAGGAGCGAGTGGATCCTATCAAGCAACCTGAAGATATGAAGTTCATTCTGGCCTAAATTTATTTCCCTACAAACAATTATTAAGGAAAGTAAAGCATTTACATCCAACACCACAGTGACTGCCTGGCAAATGAGAAAGTAATGAGACAGCCTATACTCAGCAGCGCTTCCTGTACACCTCTGCCTGGAAGAGACATACCCCAGCTCAATGTGTCAGAGGTTGAGCCTATACTCAGCAGCGCTTCCTGTACACCTCTGCCTGGAAGAGATATACCCCAGCTCAATGTGTCAGAGGTTGAGCAGGAGCTGCCATTTTAATCCCATGTAATAAAGGTTTCTAGAATTTCCTTCTTTTATATTCAGAGAAATATCCTGTCCAGGAGTGATGCTGAGAAACTAGTCCATGCAATTGTTACTTCAATGCTAGCCTATTGCAATTCTTTACAGTCAGGAAGTACACAAACTGTAGCAAAAAGCCTTCAGCTGATCCAAAATGCTGCAGTCAGAGTCCTGATGAAAATAAAAAAAACAAAACCATATCTCTCCTATTCTAGCTTCTCTTCATTTACTTCCTGTTAAGAATTTAAAATACTCCTTTTCACATATAAAGCTCTAATTCACCAAGATCCATCTGATATCAGAGATCTGATTGTTCCTTATGTTCCTAACAGAGCACTTCGCTTTCAATCTGCAGGTTTACTAGTGGTTCCTAGAATTTCTAAAAGTAGAATGGGAGGCAGATCTTTTAGTTATCAGGCTCCTCTCCTGTGGAACCAACTACCAGTTGTAGTCAGTGAGGCAGACACCCTGTCTACTTTTAAGCTTAAAACTTTCCTTTTTGATAAAGCTTCTAGTTAGAGTGGCTCAGGTTATCCTGAGCTATCTCTATAGTTATGCTGCTATAGGCTTAGACTGCTGGAGGACATAGGGACTCCCTTTAATAGTTATTTCTCCAAACAGCCATAAAACCATAGGTTTCCTGTACTTTGTTGAAATAATAACCCCACAGTGGTAATGAGTTCTATCCTCAGTATCTGTGTTTCTACTGATTAGACTGTTGAATAGAGTAAAGAAAAAAACTGGGAAACAAAACACCTGATTAAAATGCTTCTGTGTAAATAATGAGTTTGAAATATTTCTAGTTAGGCGGTCGGCGGGGAGCGTCAAGCATGTAGGACGTATCTGCCGGAGCTCCGCAGGAATGTGACTATTTAAACCTTTTTGAACACGACTTATTGAAGTTTCTTTTACAGCTTTAGTTCATTACGTAATCTACAGGCATTTATGCTCAACTAGTTTTGGTAATTTTATTAAACCATGGCAAACCGGGGTAAATCCGACACCTCGAAGGTAGGCCGCAGCAAACCACGCCTGTCGCCTGAGCCCGAGGCTGCTCCAGTATTCGATGCTAACGAGCATCTGCTAAAGCGTATGGAGGAGAAACTGGAGGGTGTGCGCTCAGATCTTGTTAGCAAATTTGACAAAATTGTGTCCGGGGCTGTGAGAAGGGAGATTACGACTACTCTTGCTCCGCTGGGACTGAAGTTAATTCGCACGAACAAGCTATTGCGGACCTTGAGCGCTCGGCTACTGACTACAATGACAAGCTAACAACCCTTGGAGCAACTGTTGCTTCGCTAAAGGATATTGTGGAATCCATATCAAAGAAATGCGAGGATTTGGAAGGACGGTCGAGACTGAATAATGTATGGGTGGTCTGAGGGAAGCCGCCCAACGGATTTTGTGGCTACTTTACTTAAGGATTTACTTGGTTTGCCCTACAAACCCGCGCTGGACAGGGCTCACCGGACCCTCCGTGCTAAACCTACGGATCGGGAACCCCCACGTCCCTTCGTTGTCAGAGTGAATATGTTTCAACAACGTAACGAAATCCTCTGTAAGGCCAATGAAGCATCTCCTTTGATTTATAATGGGAGGAGGATTTCTGTTTTCCCGGATTTCACTGCTGCTGTGGCAAAATAACGGACTGCCTTTACTAAAGTTAAGAAGGAGCTGCACTGCTGTCCAAGTGTCAAATTTGGTCTTTTCTACCCGGCAATATTGCGAATTACTCTTCCAGATGGGCTAGTCCAGAGGTTTGAAGATCCGTCGCTCGCCATGGACTTTGTTGAGAAAAAGCTGAAAAATGCAGTGATCCCCTGACTCTGTTTGAATGTTTGCCCTATGGCAGACATTTTCAAGACAATTCTTTTGCGTTTATGCACGGGGATTGCTATGACTTTATTGACACTTTTGTTGTAGTATTTTGTTACGGCAAATTTTTTGGCCCCAAGGACCACTAATGTAACTTGCACTAACGCTGCAGATTTGATAATTGAGGTTGGCTTCCTTGCACCTTAAGTATTGTTTTTGCACACTGGTTTGCACCTTTTTTTTTATTATTTGATTTTTTTATTATTTTTTTTTTTTTATGTATTTATTTTTAATATTATTTTTATTAAAATTTTTATTTATTTTTATTTTAATTTTTTTTAAATACAATATTGTGCACCTAGATTTTGTTTTTGTTACATTCTATTTGGAGGGTTTTGTTTTTCTCTCTCTAAGAACTCTCCAAGGACCTTTTGTAGGTCGGACCATGGGCATTTTGTGGGGGGAGTGTGCTTCGTGCATCCCATTTGGGGGGATGCTTCTGCGAGATGTTCGGTTTGTTTGTTCACAAGGTTTGCTTTTTGTGTTGTGTACCTCCAACTCTTCCTTATCTTTTCTTCTGCTTGACCCTTTGTTCTATCGATCAAGCGCCCAGATTCTTTCTGTTACTCATATGTCTTATACTTTGCTATGGCTCTATTACTAGGACAGGACCTCCAATTTGCCAGTTTCAACGGCAAGGGGCTTAATAATCCTGTTTAATGCAGTAAAGTACTACATCACCTCAACCAGTTGGGAGCAAGAGTCATCTTAGGAAACAAGACCATCAGAAACTGAAGAAGAACTGGGTTGGCCAGATCTATCATTCATCTTTTTCTGGTAAGGCCAGGGGTGCAGCTATTCTTTTACATAAATCTGTCCCTTTTACTTGTGATCAGATTATTTCTGACCACAATGGTAGATATGTTATTGTTACAGGTTCTATTGGGGATATACGTGTAACATTAGCTAATGTCTATGCTCCCAACTGGGATGATGACGCTTTCTATAGACGCCTTTTCTCTGAACTTCCGGATATGTCAACACATTATTTAGCATTAGGCGGAGATTTCAATTGCTGGGTCAACTCGACACTCGATCGTTCTTCATCCAAGCCGGCCGTGCTCTCTCGATTGGCCAAAACAATTCACTCATTTATGCAGGAGTTTGCAGTATCTGATGCGTGACGTTTTTTTAATCCTTTGAAAAGAGAGTACTCCTCCTTCTCATCATACATTCACTCAAATTTGACCTTTTTTCTTATTGATAATAGGCTGTTACCATCCTTGTCCTTGTGTAGATATGATGTCATCGTTTTATCTGACCATGCCCCGCTTTTGATGGATGTTAGATTAGGCATGTTATCATCCCAACGTCCATTATGGCAATTGAACACACGTCTTCTCTCAAACACTAGCTTTATTGACTACATTTCGAAACAGATAGATTTTTTCCTGGCAACAAATAGAGCACCGGGTATCTCTCCCTCCCTTCTTTGGGAATCACTGAAGGCTTTTATTAGGGGAGAGATCATTTCATTTATTCATTTCGAGAATAAATTAAGGAATGAGAAGTTGAATACCCTAAGACGAAATATGTACGCGGCCTGTGCTTCCCCGAATGTGTATAAAGAGCTTTCACTTTAATCCGAATTTGATATACTCATGACCCACCGCACTACAGAACTTAGGTTGCGGTCCAGGGCACAGTTTTTCAAACACGGTGACAAGGCCAGCAATTTGTTGGCACACCAAATTCGCCGGGTGTCTGCATCGCGTCAGATTATCAAGATTCAAACTGACACAGGTGTGACGACAGATCCCTGTCAGATTAACCTTGCTTTTGAGAAATTTTATAGGTTATTGTATTCATCTGAATCCACATCCACGGTTGCTGACTTGGATAATTTTTTCACCGAATTGGAAGTGCCTGCTGTTGATCAGGAAACGGCAGTTAACCTGAGTAGACCTATCACTTTGTCAGAACTTGATGCGGCTATGCGATCTCTTCAGGGAGGAAAATGCCCAGGCCCTGATGGGTACCCCTCTGAGTTTTATAAGACATTTTGGGAAAAACTGGCACCACTCTTATTAGAAATGTATAATGATGCTTTTGTTATTGGAATCCTGCCCGAGACTCTTAATCAGGCCACCATTTCCCTTCTTTTGAAAAAAGCCAAAGATCCTCTTTGTTGTTCATCCTATTGTCCGATAAGCCTTTTAAATGTCGACTTTAAACTGTTATCGAAAGTTTTAGCTATGCATCTTGAGTGTGTTCTGCCTACATTAGTTCACTTAGACCAGACCGGGTTTGTTCAAAATAGACATTCTTTTTCTAATATTAGGAGGCTTTTTAATGTTATTCACAAGGACTCATCCCATAACAATCCCGAAGCGTTGATCTCTCTCGATGCTGAAAAGGCTTTTGACCGAGTTGAGTGGTCTTACCTATTTTATATTGTCAGAAAGTTTGGGTTTGGTGAAGCTTTTTTGACTTGGATTAAGTTACTATATTCTAACCCACAGGTCTCTGTTAGGACTAATAACTAGTGTTGCGCCGATGCCATTTTTTGGCCCCCGATACCGATACCCGATACCTGGCTGTGCAGTATCGGCCGATACCGATACCATAATAATGTAAAATAATTGCCATCATGGCTTTGTCAAGCTGCTGCATACCTTTGTGAAGAAGGAAAAAATCTAATACAAAGTGAATCCAGTAGAACTTTTCATTGCCTATCTGGAATTGGTGACAATAGT